CTCTGCCCCGGCCCCAGTCGTCCAGTACTCTGCCCCGGCCCCCGTTGTCCAGTACTCCGCCCCCGCCCCCGCGGCGCGCGCCCCCATCGTGTTCTCGCGCGCCACCCTGGCCCAGTCCGCGCCTCCAGCTGGTCTCGCACCACCCGTCGCCGAGTTCGGTGCCCCCTCCACCGAGTACGGCCCTCCCCGCTTCTAGACACGGTTCCGAACGAATTCACAGAATATGAATGACTAGTATCGCACCTGGCCAGCGAGGGCACGGCATGGCCCGCGCGCTGTTCGGAAGGGCCGCCGAGACTGTTCGCGGCTTTGGTCCGCGACCTTTTCGGCGACCACAGCGCGGGGTGTGGTCCCCCTAGCGCGCCCTAGCGGTGCTGGTGATGTAAGCGAACGGGCTACCTGCCCTGTGTGATCTGTGATAAGGGCGCCGGTGGTAAACTTCCCGCCCGCAAATACTGTTATTTTCCATCGTCATTTCTTTATGTCCGAAATGGCTTGCGACGTCCCCGGTAGCGCAAATGCGCATTGTACGCGCACCATACGCGCTTAAGTAAGAGCATTACGCGCGCTTTTCAAATGCGCGTCAAAATGCGCATAAAAGGTAACACATTCGTGATACATTTCCAGCGCATTACAAAAGCGCTTTTGTAATGCATCTTAACATCACATTAAAAGCGCATTTTCCATGCGCCTGAAAAAAACACGCCGATAGGTGATCTATAAGCGCCTTTCCGCTAAAATACTGCGTGTGATGCATAAATACATAACTTGTAAACCACATCAAAACAATTCCGCGGGAAAATAATAATTGCAGAAGTAAGGAAAATAATATTTATTTTTTGGTAACTGAGTAAACATTGTCTTATGTATATTAAATATACATAACAATGTAATGCCACATAAACCATGTAAAGAAACTAAAATAATAATCATTTAACAATTGGTTTCATCATGTCCACTCTCATTGTCATTTGTTCATTGCCATTCAACCATATTTGATATACATTATAATGTAATGTCACATAAACCATATGAAGACATTTAAGGTAAGAATTGATCATTAACCATCGGTGTCATCCTCTTCGTCATTGGAACTACCAGTTTCATTGTTATTAATGTCCATGTCAACACCGCTTGTCTCTGCCTCCTCATCTTCTGGGACTGCTGATTTAGCTCTCAGGTTATTACGGAGCCATTTTGATATTTCTGTCCCAACTTTCCCCTTGACCACATCCTTGAAGTGTCTCTTTAC